CTTTGTTCGATTATCGAAATGCACTGACACTCTTAAAGTCTGCTCTCTGGCGCTTCGGGGACCGGAAAGACTCAGACATGTGCACGCCTCCTTGGAAAGGCCTGTGGTTTTGGTATTTCCTGTCGGCGCTCCGAACCCGGAAACGATCCCACCGATCCTGGCTTTCGCAGTATGTCCGGCACGCTGAAATCTCTCGCACGCAGGTCCAAGTTCCACCCAATATCTGGCGACCTAGCGCAACTCGATGAGAATCGGCATATTGCAGAAAATGGCGTCGCGATTTCGGTCCTGTCTCGGGTTTCCGTTCTCGAAGCATTCCTGAAGTGCAAACCAGACGGTGTGTCTGTCGAGACTTGGAAGATGCAGTGGGCTTTGTTTGAGCTTCATCCCGAACTGTCATACAAGGGCTTTCCTGGACTCTACGAGGATATCTGCGAGCGCCTGGAAGAGGACCTTCAGACCGCTGCTTCATCTTCGGTTATGGAGCTCCTTCGAGCTACTGTGCATCGGCTAAAATCCGACTTCCCAGAGTACATGAAGATTTTCTACTTCATCATTGACGAGGCTCAGTTTGGCGCACTGGAATACACCTCTTATTTTCGCTCTCGCGCTGACCCTGATCGTCCTCGCTCGTTCTTGACCGAGCTGGTTAACATTCTTACGGGGCTCGGCCTAGCCACTCATACCGTCATCTCCGGAATCAGCCTATCTGAGGACCAAATCATAGACTCCGTGCAGTCCACGACCGCTCGCTTGGGTACCCGCCTGAAGGTGGTCTCTATTCCAGATGGTTTTTACGACAAGGAAGAGCAACGGAAGTATATACTCAAGCATCTTGGGCCCTGGGCTGAACAGCGCAAAATACCGGTAAAGTCTTTCAAACGGCTTGTCCAGCGGATGCTGGACGTGTTTCCCGGCCGGTGAGTGTCCATAGTTTGCTCTGCAGTCGCACATCACTCTTCTTACTCAATATTTCCCCAACCATCCAGGTATCGAGTGACCGCGTGCTTCATCGACATAGTGCTTCGATCCGATACCGAATGTCCTCATCGACTCTTCACTCTGTTTGCTCTGCGTATAACTGATGGCTATGTGTGTACGGATGGAGGTCAAATTGAGCGCGAAGAGGCATGCCTCGAAGACAAAGCGTTCAAGCTCGCCAACGAGATCAGACCGATGATCGACTGGAAGGAGTACGACTCCTTGCCCCCTGGTTCGTATTTCGATTACGCTGCACCATTATACTTGCATTGAACTGACTGTTTGTCTTAATCTAGACGTCAAGACGACGGTTATCCACATGGTCGCACGCTACATCACCACCGGGACCATGTCCACTGTCACTGACAAGGAGCTGAAGCTCGTCAAGGCTAGTATAGGGCATGTACGGTGCGAAGAGACCTACGACGGGAGCACTGACAAAGTCGGAAGCACTGGCTTAGGAGCCACAGGCAAAGGAACCACTCGCAAAGGAACCACTCGCAAAGGAACCACTCGTAAAGGAACCACTGGCAACAGGAGCGCCGACGACGGGAGCACAGACAAGAACAGCGCTCACAAGTCCGAGTCGCGCGGCGCCGATGGACAAAAGGCCTTCGTCGTTTCCATCACCGAGCCGCTGGTGATTTTTTCCTTTATGATCCATTGCAAGGACGAGTTGATCAAGGCCGTGGGCGACTCCACGCGCTGGGCGCCCGAAGCCTGTTCGCAAGGACGATCGTACGAACTTCAGATCTTGGTCATCATCGCGCTGATGTTCGGCGGCCAATTCCGCAGGTTGGGCGATCTTCTTCTGTTTCGCGAGAAATACAAATATCTGGAGGATCTCGAATGTGAGCTCGTCGCCATTTACAAGGTTGATGGCGAGTATGTCGCGTCCTCGGCTGGGTGGGGTTGTGGTCCTAGCTGTAGCCTGCTCGGGTTCAGCGCCAACAAGGCCCCAGATTTGAAGGAGGCCGCTGAACGTGGTGTAGGAGTCGCGTTCTATCTCCCCGACCCGAACAACCACATCAGGAAAACACAATTTCCAGCTTAGCGCCACACGTAGATACTTAGGCTGAGTATCCTGCCATAGGTTTGGGCCACCCTACTTAGGTCTGCTTAGGCTACTTTGGATGCTGGAGAGAGTATGTAGTCTAACGTAGCCCGTCTTAACATACCTCTGAGGTGCTGTATCTGTGGTAGGCTTACGATGTCACGAAACGCTCAGGCAACTTCGAGCACGTTGATGCGGGGCAGGAGATATGGCAATAAAAATATATTATGCAAACAACGACTGATCCGAGCTACAGATGACGACGTTTATAAAGCGCAGGAAGGTGCCGTAGAAAGTAAAAATCATCATCCCGCAGATAAGGATTAAGGAAAAAGGTCTCGCACTCTTCGACAACATTATCCGTTGTCCAAGTGCGAGGTATATGGGATTGACGCGGTTTCGGAGTGAGAAGACAGCTGCGTGCGATCTCAGTAATGGGGATGACAGTGGCGAATCGCTGATGTTGTCGTGTCGAGCGCGAGACGATATGCATCCCAGAGATAGGATCGGCTTCGCGGAGTGGAGTGAACCATTGAACGTAGGCCAAGGGGGTCTTAAACGGGCCAAATTCTTCCGGTAGGCTGAATATACACCGAACCTGCGCCACCCGAAGCCCTGCATATACCGCCGGGGTCAGTGATGATGAACATAATCAATGAACAAGTCTGACTTACTACTCAGAGGATGCTGGCTGGGTAGATGTGAAGAGGGAACACGCTCCCAAACGAGCACAGGGTCGAATCGAGCGGGCGCGGCGGGTGTGTGCTTGTGACGAGGTATGTACGGTGTGGCGCGAATCGTATCTTTCTTCCTCGTAGGCGAAATTTCATCGATCTGAGGAAGCCACAGGTAGAATCGTTTGAAGACCGGGAAGCAAGTGCGGGATGATATGTCGGAGGAGAGTGAACGTAGACCGTATTGCTGTAAGAACCGGGATAAGACACGGAGAAAGTCCTCTGCGCCATAGTTCAATTCGAGATCAGCGACGGAAACTTGGAGAGGGGCACTCCGTGCGATCTTATAGGCGGATATTGATGACGTTGATGCCATCAACGACTCCGAGACCGCACGTCGAGCCACAGTGGTGTCGCTGACTCTGGCTGCTGCTTCGCTCGTACGCCCACCCTCCCTGCCGCCATCAACTTCTACAAGCTCCTCCTCTTCATCCACACCATCAGCCTCGTCATCTACACGCCCAAGAACTGCACATAGAGCCGACCTCGATCTTCCCGTGTTGTGTGCAACTCGCATTGGATCATTACCGTCTGCTCCGAGGAGATGGTCGCTCTCCTCTTCGTCAACTACCATGTCCTCCGCATCACCCATTCCATCTCCACAGTTTCCCTCGTCACTTTCTTCCTCCGCGTCACCCTCCCCTGATCCAGCCATATATCCCGGAAGTGCCCACTCGAGATAACACTCGAAGCGATGAACGGCTTCCTGGCGTTGAAGCCACTTAGCCATTTGCCGAAGGTACGCCTTTTTGTTGGAAGCACGATAGCCGAGCTTTGCGTACTCGATGTGGAGGCGCTCGGATCCCTCTGTGTTGAAGCCAGGTGCTGGGCCACGAGAGCGAATGGACGGGATGTAGTGTTTCATGGAGTGGATCTTCGGAATGTTGAAATGCTTCCGAAGCCCCAGCTCGATGAACACTTTCTTATGCGCATGGAATAACTGCCAAGCGCGATCCATCTCCTCCAGCGATTCATCGGAATGCATCTCAAAATGGGAGTAGTAGATGAAATCGAGAACACCTCGCACGGTCAGAATGACCTCTGGATCAGAGGAACCAGAGATCGCAGCCAAGAACACCTTCTGCATGTTCTTGTACTCGTTCCCGGTCCACTGCGTCACCAGAGAGATCCCGCGCCTGAAGTGGCGTAAGGAGGGATGGCTCGGCATTGACATATATCGAGCGTCGAGTTCGTCCGCTTGGCCCGGCATAGCAGCGGTGGCCCAGCTGACGATATGATCCTTAAATACACCCTTGTGAAGCTGGTGCAGGATGTCAGGTGTGATGCAGGAGAAGATATCACAGTAGGGAAGATCAGACCAAAACGGAAGAACCGGTTGAAGACCCTCGTCGACAAAGGCTCGTGGCTTGTAGCCCTTCCTTTGCTCGTCGAGGGTCTTCAACGTTTTTTCTGGATCCCGAAGAACGGAGTGTACGGGCGAGCCACGCTGGTCGGCAGGGACTGTACATCGTGGGCAACGACTCTCCTTAATGCAAGTAATAAGGCATTGTTCAGGATGGTCTGCAATGTAGGCGGCAAGAATGGGGAAGACTCGACGAATTCCGCCATCGGAGCAAGTCATTCTGATGCCATTCTTCCCCGCCTCCATTAACGGCTCGAGCATTTTGCGCATACATTCGTGGAACAGGCGGTGCCCCTCGACTGATCTGCGAGACTCTGAGAAGCATTCGAGCTTCAGGTGAGGGATGTAGCCAAGCAGTAAAGTGGCCCGTTTTGACGGAGCGCGACGAACATGGCTATCAATACCACCTACGGAGAGATACACAGGCCAAGCCTCTTTGTCGCCGCTGAAAGTAGAGAGTGCTGTCTTGTCGGAGGCGAGTATAACGGGCGCCACTGTGGCGTCAGGGTGGATCTTCGATATCAGGCCCTATATTCAATGAATGCAGTCAGTATGTTGTCGCTGGAGGTGTTGAACGTGGTATACAGGTAAAAAAAGCGATATCACAATGTGGGAGATCGATCACTTACCAAAACCTCCCACCACCAATCCGTGGTCCACATCTCCCCAAACCACCTGACTCTTCTCCCATTCTTCATCGTATAAATCTTCTCAGGTCTGTAATGAGTGTCGTTCGCGAACGATGGATTCCCCAACAAGTCCGCCACGAGGTCCACAGGGTTTCGCCGCCACAGCTCTGCCTCCTCCACCATCGGTTCTCCTTCAACATCGAGGAGATCGCCTTCGACGCCAAACGTATCGCAGATCCATCGTGGCCTGCTCGGCAGCGAATCGATCTTCTGGAAGAATGATCGCTTGTTGTGAGATGACGGGTTTGCGCCATCCTTGATCTACAACGGATCGACATGAGCTCGGGTTCACCGCGGAGAGACGTTGAGCGAAAGAGAAAGGTAACGTACCTTGCGAAGCTTGAAGAATGAGTCGATTCGGCTTTGGCTAACCCCAGACTTTATCAACCAGGAAGCGAGTTCCCAATCCTCCAGAGAGTCGTAGGGTGCCCATGGCGGGAGACCTTTCGCTCTCTGTGCGTCTCGATGCAATTCAAACGGAGTCCTTCCTGACTTCTCCTCAACCCAAGCACCTGCCGATTCCGACGGAAACGTCTCGACAAAGACTGTGTCGTCACTCGCTACTTCCTCGATCTCCACGCGGCGACGCTTGGAAGAAGGTCGACCATTAGCGGCTTCGGGTTCAAGAGGCGTTGGCGTAGGCATGCGTGGTGGGTCAAAGAAGGTGAAGTCGTCGTCGGAGCAGCGTTCTGGTGTGGCCTTCATGCCGTCAGATAACACGGGATGAGGTTGGTTGGTGATGGTGAGTGCGTTCATTTCGGCATTGTATGCTGCTTTACACTTGCCATGTTGTTGATGTGCGCGTAACCCTTGAAGGGTGTGCGCGACACGTCTCTGGCAGTATCTGCAAGCATACTTCGGCTGTTCGCTACGTGCTGACATCGTTCGGAGAAGAGGTACTCGAAAACTGGTGTATCTGTCGTAGGCTTTCGTCCGACTACAGAGAAGACAGAAAAGGGTAGAGTAAGTGCCACAGTGCACAGCCTGTGGCTCTGTGCTGCTGTCAGCGCGCCACCAATGTCGTGAATTGTCGCGAATTGTCGCGAACATTCTGCGCCACTACTGCCACATCCAATGACTCGACTCAGCCGTCGATGCCGACAGACCCTCTATATAAGTAGGACGCTGACTCATGATTTTACTCGTTTTTCTGCTCAGACCACCACTTCAATAATCTATCCCTCAATGCCTCGACATTCTCGCCACAATACAGTCTTGTCGGACGACGACGACGATGAAGAGCTCGTCGAGATGCCACAACCAAAAAGACGGTGTCGGTCCCGAGATCATATCTCTGATATTGAGCTATTTGACGAGCGTACCCGGGGCCAGCGTGGACATCGACGTCCTTCCTCCAAGCAGGCTAGTAATGGTATGTTCCTTATTTTGCTGGTCATCCTCATCTACAGAGCTAAATAATACATTACAGAGCGTGACGCGGCGGAGGAGCAGATCAGAAAATTGACCCGTCAGCTAGCTAAGGCGAAAAGAGATGTCGCCAGAGAACGGAATGGTACGTTGTCGATTGATGTATTCTCTTCTGGAACAATGCTGTGATATTCATCATATCATTCTTGATCCAGCCTTCCAGGACGAGGACGAGAACTCCCTCGAGAGTCAGGATGATGAGGACATGGCGCCGTGGACGGTCTCGGTAAGTTTGAGCACTATTCTCACTTTTCCTTCAAATGTTTCTCTAACACCTTACGCAGACTCAGCCTATCGCGACCTTCGCCCTGGATGAAGACCAGCCGAGACGCCCATACATCAAGCGCGGAACGAAGCGCACCCCTCCCGTCCCCACATACACTCGTGCAGGTTCTTCATCGACCCATACTACGACCACCAACACCCTGGGGCCTCAGGGCGACACACCATCTGCTTTTCGTGCTCTGCCGTCCATCGTTTCCTCCCCGGCCACTCATGAACCCGCACAATCGATATCTCCTCAGGGGCAGTCATCCGAAACTGAGGGAGCCGAGCCGAACCCTCCAACACGGCAAACGAACCCTGCTTCAAACGGTATGTCTTCAACGTTTCGAAATGTCCATGCATGTTTTGCCATGCTCACTGAATATCTCGTCTCATGAGATGTACGGGACGACGATGTTACAGAAGTAAACAATGCACCTGGTACGTCCATCTGTCTCAACAATCATTCAGGTGTCCTGCCTACTGACTAGTCGGATAAACAGACAATGTGTCTCATGCAAACCCTGAACGCCAGACAGGTATGCTTTGAAATCATCAAATATGTTATATTGTTGGAGAAACTGCTTATCATTGCACGAGCTAGTCGCTACTAACACTCAACTGGCTACAGATATGTCCGCACCCCGTCCTCCGACGGTAGAAACCCAACAGGCAGCAGGTCAGTGTTCCTTTAGTGTCGTGGATTGCGAATACTTATTGACGATGTCCAAACACGTAGTAGGTACACCAAAGAAGGTCCTCACGCCGAAGTTCAAGGCGGGACAAAAGCCCTCTGGTACCCTGAAGGCAGGTGACTATGAGGATGCTGTCAGGGCGGCGATAATCTCTGCCATTCGCTATTACGAGGCCGAGATCATGACTCGCAATGCATACGCATGCGACGCTGATCGTGTACGGTGGGCCTCGGAGGCCTGGCAGTACGTATTTGAGAAGGCTGACGCTATGTACGAGTTGACGAGTGCAATAAGCGGACTGGTACGCTTCTCAACGTCACCCCATTGTTATGATGCTAACCAAACGGAAACCGCAGATCAAGGGACGCGATCCCCAAGCACGTAAGTTTGTCAAGGATGCTGCCCGTGAAGGCGTGAAGACCTACGGTTTCTCGGATGACAAGACGGCTGCGGAGAACAAGGAGATCTATGAGCGTATCAAGAACGGATTTCATTACAAGGTATGTTTGCTTTTGTTGTGAACTTCTTTATGGTATTGATGTTTGCCTCTTCGGTTCTGTAGGATCCCGTAGAACAGCACGGTTATGGCGAGAACCATGCAATCATCAGAACGATGCGTCTGGCATGGTTTACCCGCAGCGAGAAGACTAACATAGCCGTTAAGTTTCCCTCATTCTTCAAACCGGTACCTCTCCCGGCACTGGCTATCATCTTTACCATGGTACGTCGAGGCTTTCTCATGTCAAATCCTGTTCAAACTACTCCTGACGCTTGTAGGTCGAGTTCGCCATCGACGAGTGGTCTACAGGGGAATTCAAACCCGAGGATCTGTCGCAGGACGTTCAGTGTGAGTTGTATCGTGCTCACCTCGCAAAGCTTCGTGAATGGGCTTCCCTCAACGAGCAGTTCAGCACGAACCGACGGAAGAAGCTGTTCGACAAGTGCATGTGAGTGTTTTGAATCGGATCGGCTCAATACGTTGGGCAATGTACTGATCTTGAGTGCAGCGAGAAGGTCAAAAGTAAAAAGCAAGCTCCCGCGGTCGTGGCCCATTTGTCTGAGAGCGCAAAGGATCGTGCGCGTCAAGAGATGGAGGGAAGGACTGGTGAGACAGACAGCGAGACAGAGCCATAACTTGTAGCCCACGCCGTGTAAATATGTATTCACAACTTAATGAGAACCGTGCTTTCAGTCTTGTTTGATTGTTCGGTAAGAAGAGCCGGGAGAAGGTGATGTAGTAAGGCTCATCACATTGTACGAGACTGTGCTTTGCTATATATATTGCGTGCTTCTCCATCCTAGGCTCTATTTATCGGTATGGTAGGTACTACATAGGGAGAACTTGAGACTAACTAATTGTACAGTACAGCAGTGAAGGGTCGAAGTGGCAGTTAAGTTGACCTATGGTAGAGCGGCGAGGTGCTAAGTAGACCTACTGCAGCGAACAGCCACGCTAAGTAGCCTAACCCGAGGGGGGGTTGTGTATGGGGCTAAGTATGGTGTGTACGCTACTTAGCCTTGCTTACACTTCTAGTTTTTTCCTGATGCATGTCGACGTGGACTTCTATGCTAGACCCAAAGGTTCTTCGAAGATTATCAGGATCCATCTGCAGGCCAAGTTTACTACTGGGGAGAACGGTAGCATCAAGTCAGTGACTTTCAAGGACGCCAAACAGTCTCTTGACCCGGAATGGATCTACATGTCTCGCTGCAACACACCGGTACGTTTGTTCCTCTTTCCGTCTGAATTTTCGAGTTTTATATCCATTTTCCTAACTGGCCGCTTTGTGCTCTCAATTCTGCAGGGAGAACCGGACAGGAAACTTGCGACCGAGGAAGGCCCCGCAATCATGGAGATCTTCGAGAAGATGCGACTCGCAAAGCACGGAGACTACGAGCCTCTGGTCCCACTATCCGCCGAGGAGGAAGCGAAAATTCCGGACCATATCTCCGTCATTGCCATCGCGGGGCCTGAGGAGACTCCCAAGCAGTTCTGGAAGTGCAAAGAGGACGAGGCCTGGGG